ACTACCGTTTGCATTGCGCGAGGCGGCAGAGTTTGACTTGAAGAGACAAGTAGCCAACGGCGTATTGACTCTAGTGGAAACAGCGCAGTGGGCCACTCCGATCGTCGTTGTCCCGAAGACCAGTGGATCCGTGAGGGTATGCGGAGATTTCAGCGTGACTGTCAATCCTCAGTTGTACGTCGCGCAGTACCCGCTCCCACGACCCGAGGAACGTTTCTCGAAACTCAACGGAAGGCGCAAGTTCTCGAAACTGGATCTGTCGGAGGCATATCTTCAGATGGAGCTGGAGGAGGATACAAAGAAGTATCTCGTCATAAACACTCACCAGGGATTGTTCCAGTTTAACCGGATGCCTTTTGGCATATCATCAGCGCCTGCCATCTTCCAGCGAACCATGGAACAAGTAACCGCTGGCCTGGGAAGCGTGGCATGCTACCTGGATGATATAATCGTCACCGGAGAAACTGATCAGCTGCACATCAAGAAATTTGAGCTCGTGTTCCTACGACTCAAAGACTGTGGGTTCACGCTAAAAAAAAAGATAAATGTGCGTTTATGTCTCCTGAAGTGGAATATTTGGGTCAGATTCTGTCAGCGGAAGGAATACGTCCCTCTCAAGAGAAAGTTGGAGCCGTACTGAACATGCCGGCGCCGTCTAACCAACATGACCTACGGGCATTTTTGGGCATGGTTCAGTACTACGCAAAGTATCTGGCAGGGTTAGCCGACCTGGGCGCACCGCTGAGTAATCTACTCAAGCAGAATGTCCCTTGGCAATGGAGTTTGCGTTGCGTAGAAGCCTTCGAAGACAACAAGACGCGTCTAACGTCCATGGAGACTCTTGTTCACTTTGATCCAAGCGAGACAATCTATTTGGCGGCTGATGCTTCATCAGTTAGCGTCGGAGTGGTCATCTTCCACAAGATGAAAGGAAAGGAACGCCTAATTGCGCATGCATCGAAAACGCTAACTTCCGCGGAAAAACGATATGCCCAGATTGAGCGAGAAGCTCTAGCCAACATTTATGGCGTAAAGAAGTTTCATCAGTATCTGTGGGGAAGATTTGTCTTGTATACAGATCACAAACTATTGACGGTGATTTTGGTCTAGTAAAAGGAATCCCTGTGACGGCTGCCAACAGACTTCAACGGTGGGCTTTGATCTTACAAGGGTACTCGTATGACATTAAGTATACTCCAACAACTCAGTTGGAAACGCTGATGGCTTGTCACGACTACCTCAAGGACTTGATGCAGAGTTTGACGCGGAAGTTCAACATGAATTCGCCGATGTTGTGAGCTTCATTTTTTCAGACATCATGGCAATTCAAGGAAATCTTCCTTGTTCACGGACTGCCGGAGCAGGTAGTCAGCGATAATGGACCACAGTATACTAGTGCCATTTTTAAGAATTTTCTAGAGGAACAAGGAATTCCGCACATCTTAACACCACCGTACCACCCTCAGTCAAACGGCTTAGCCGAAAACTTTGTGAGTACACTTAAGTCTGTTTTGCGAAAATACAACAAGGGAGAGGAAAAGGAAGGACTAAGACAGTTCCTCCTCAAGTATAGGGTGACACCACACTCTACGACGGGACAACCCCCATGCGAGATGCTGAACAAGCGACACTACAGAACGACGATGGATTTGATTAAGTCAGGCCAGTCGTCCGAACGTTCTCGTGAGCGGGTTCGCCAAAAGAGCAGCTATGACGAGAGAAGTCGCGACCGGACGTTTCAGATAAATCAGAAAGTCTGGATGCAGGATAGGTTGAAGAACAACAACTGGATCAAAGGTGTGATCGTGAGCCAAAAAGGTCGAGTTATGTTCGAAGTACTGGCGGAAGATAACAAGCGACACCGGGTGCACGCAGATCAGATAAAGAAACGAATCTGCGAAGAAGACTGGACCGCATTGTACGCCCCAACGCCGGTGGACAACTTTTGCGCAGTTGAACTTCCGCGAGCAGAAGCAGATAAATCGGACACAACTATGCAACAATCAGCTGATGCGTCCGAGTCCACTGCGGTTCGTCGGTATCCGACCAGACTACGCAAAGCACCTGATGTCTTCACATTCGCTTGAGGAGGGAGGAATGTAGTAGCGTCGAAGACGAGAAAGACTCGAAACATAGGACCGTGCTGGGCTCACGTGAATCGAGGGATTCATATCCTGGCGCGTATAAAGAACGGTCTTCGCAGTGCAGTTCTCGGGCCCAAAGTAAAGTGCATTTAGCCTGTCATACGGGTCCGTGTCCACTCCGCTACAGGTGTCAGTTCAATTGAATATAGTTAAGGAAGGAGTCGAAGAAGCCAAAGATGACAGCAGATTCTTCATGCCCATGCGTCCGGAAGGGACGGAACATCTGTTCAATGATGTCACATCCCTCACACCGATGCACTTGTGGAATCACGAGGGTTGTAGCATCCACAGTTTGCCAACTTGTCGTGAGATGGATTATAATACCTGAATTTTGGTTTAATATGAATATCTAATTGTATGTAAATTTTCTCAGCTGCTTGCAGGATGGAGATGTACAGGATGGCGAGATGTTTCAGGAGCCACGTATGGACGTGGGAGACGACCCACGTGATGTCGCAGCCGCCGGAGTCGGCTTCGAGGCACCGGACTTGAGCGGGCACAGAGGAGAAAGCTTGGCTGCAAACTCAAGGAGGGCGAGCACCACTAGCACCAGCTGCGCTGCAAGCACCTCTGCAAGCGCAGCAACTGACAGCGAGGGCGCCTCCGAAAAAAAAGGGCTCGGCACCCAAATACTGCTCTCATTAGGGCAGCAATTGAGAAGCAGAAGCTCCTCCGTTTGAGCTTTGAAGCCGCTCGAGCGAAGGAATTCGAGCTCCGGGAGCGGGAGCTCGTTCAGGAAGAGCATGTATAGACCGTTTCCGATATTCAGTCTGGCCACTTTGATCACTATCATCACATGTAGAACGGCATCTGTGCCATACCAATGGCGGCCTTCTAGTGACTGATAAATGAAGACGTTGAAGATGCTTCTAAGCGGATCTTGCGAGGCCTGTACATTCCGGGGGTCAGTACGACGCGACGTAGGAATGGAACACAAGAGCTACGTAAGCGTTTATTTCTAATAACTCAGATTCAGTCAATCTGTGGGCGGCACACAACCGGCTTTAAAGCACCTTGGTGTAGAAAATTTTCTCGAGGCATCTGAGTGGGTTGGAGCTTTGTTCTGCATGCAGGTTCTTGGTCACCATCGAACTGAAAGCGATAGAGAAAGAACTCACACTGAACAATTCCTCGCGTGCAGTTGACTTGCGAAAGTGTCGGTGCCGATACAAGTTCATTTCCGCCATTGATATGGCAAAACCTAAACTGCTTTACAAACCACCAGATGGCACTGCATTTCGGAAAGGGTCTATTGCAAGCACAAGAACGTGCTTTAAAGCAATAGGAACGTGCTGCGAAGGCGCAGACAGATTTGACTGCGGTCATGATAGCTTTATTAAATAAAGCACCAAAGGAAGCGAATGGAGCCCATTTGTGTTGTACTTGGGAGCAATTATTCATCTAGTTATGGTATTTGATATGCCTTTATTGTTAACATGCACAATTCCAAGTGTTCTACTACACATCAATATTCATACCCCCTTCCCTTCCCCTCTCCCCCCTTCACCCCCCATCCCACCCCACCCCACACACCCACACACAAAAGAAAAATGTTATGGAAAGTGACACTGCTTTGTCTTGCTGTTGTACTGACTGACAGAGCGAGAAGTGTAACCGCCTCGGTGCCTCCGAGGCGAGAGTGGTGGCCTACGGATCAAATGTGGCGGGTTCGAATCCCGGCCGAGGTGCCTGCAATCTGACGGAGGCTTATTGCGGAGGAGGCGCCGTGTAATCAAGCTTTCGGTATAGTCAAAAGATCCCCAGGTGGTCCAAATTAATCCTCAATCCTCCTCTGGGGCGTGCCAGATGCCCATCGTTGGTTTGGCACGTAAAACTCCCAAATTTGACTTGGGTCGAGAAGGGTGAATCTTTTCGAAACTCCAGCACCTCCAGTTAATATTGGGCAGATCAAACCCTGGCACCCTAAGTGACTAACTTTAGAACTACACATATGGGGACGAGAAATAACAATGAGCCAGCGCTTGGCTGACGAAACCGAACGCTGCGTCAGCGTTTGGCTGGAGTTTGTGTTCTCCGGTTGCTTGCGGGGAACGAGGGGCTCTTTTGTTACTACTCCGGCCGGCATGAAGAATGCAGCATGCACTGTGCATATGCCCAGCTCGACACAAAAGCCGAAGTGGGTCAAGCTCGCATTCTCCGACAACTGCTTTCGGGAGAGATCCGGCACTAACGATAAACGTCACTTTGTTTCCTGTTAGTGACACAAGGCCTGTGGGCTTGTCCACTGAGGTGTGGGGACAACAAATGGGTTGGAGCAATACTACCTAGAAGACAAGGCCTTCGCATGACCTTTGGTTTGTAGATTCCTGACCAGCCCCAAGCGGCAAACAGCCCGAAGCTTGACGAGAGTATGGGTCACGTCGCAACTACGTCTCATTCACTGGCGGCCACAGCTCTGTGTGCGCGACTGCAGAGTGCGAGCTGATAGAGAGCTTCCACAGTTATTTGCCATGTGAATACAACTACAAGATTGCCTTTATTAGCAGCCTATTAATGTAATTTCTTGCGACACCATTGGTTGCCGGTCTTAGCAACTTGGTAATGTGAGCTCTTTCTGATCATGAGCACTGAAGCAGGCAATGGAGCAGACGATGGTGCTCATCCGGGCTACCTAAAGGGTGCTAAGGGGATCTGCTATTGATTATGTTTAGTGGAGCAAACACGCAGGCCTTGATCTCCTCACCCATAGTGCCCAGCAAGTTCCACATCTAGTACTGATAGGCCAGACAGGAATGCAGAGTGGACACAAGTAATACCTTAGTGACACAAAAGAAAGTTTCAACCCTTTTTTAAGAAGCCTTCGGCCTGGAACTTGTGCCCAAACTGTGTCTCGTGCTACCCTGTCAGATGGAGCATCGAAGTTGAAACGTGCACACCTCGACCCTCTTCTGCTCATTCAGGCATAAAAAAAGATAAAAACTGAAATGTTGAAATAAATACTGCGGTTTAACTTCATTTGAGACAACAGGAGGAGGCATCGAAAGAAGTCAGCTCTAAAGCCAAATTGTTTTGACCCTGAGAAAGGCAAAAGCTCAAAAGGGCCGTTTCTTCTATGGTGGTCAAGGGATCTTTGCTCTGCTGGTCCTCAAAAGGGCTTTCGTTCCGGTGAAGCTCGGAAGGGCCTTTGCTTCGCTCTTCACTCTATACTCCGTTTCACCTTGTGTTGTACCACAGGAAAGGCTACAAGCGCGAGCTCCTTGCTCTAGGGCACATCTCGGTGGCACAAGCTCTCGTGCACCAAGGGCAGCTGCCAACGCTATGAGCTTGCGCATCTAGCCTTCGCTGCGGTGCAACATAAGGTGAAACGGAGTAATGTGCTGGTGAAGGTAGGCAGCAATGGAGTCCCGGACACTCGAACCATTGCCTGCCACGGCATCCGTGTTGCAGACTGGCTGCTCGTAGAAACGGGCCTCCGTGCCAACTTCGGTGAGCCACTGGGACTCCACGCCATCATTGAACTGCTCGCAGATGTTATTCAACGTGTAGCAAGCCCGTATAACGAAGCGGGCGTTGTCCTCGTCGCACTCCAGCCGCTTCATGATGAAGCGGAACCGTGCCTTGATCCTGCCGAAGGCGTTCTCCACGACCCTACATGCTGATGACAGTTGCCGGTTGAACTTCTCCTGTGGAGACTTTCCCGTGACACTCTTGCGTGCGTATGGCTTCAGCATGTTGCACGTCAGAGGAAAGGCTTGGTCGCAGAGAACCAGCGGCGGCACGGCACTCCCGTTAATGGTGACCATTGGTGTTGTAAACGTTGGCCCTTCCAGAATTTTTGCCAGTGCCGACCTCCGAAAGACGTGCGCGTCGTGGCACCGCCCTGACGTCCCCACGTTGACGTACCAGAACCGGTACCGGTTCTGGTACGTCAATAACAAGGGCCACAAGGATGATGCTGTACCTGGAGAAAAGTAATACATTGCATGAGTCAGATTTTTACACATAATATGTGGGGCTTTGGGTTTCCCTAAAGCTGTAGATTCAAAAAGAAAATTTTTACACAGTATCAGTGCTAGCACGGCACATTATTGAAAATGACGAGCTACCAATCACCTGCTAGCATCTCGTGTTTTGGTAATGTTTCGTCATTTCCACCTCATTAAACGTGGAATACATTTTAGCGCTGAAAACATAAGGACACAAAGACGAGAATCGGACGCCACAGTGCGATTGTCGTCTTTGTGTCCTTGTGTTTTGACCGCTAAAACGTATTCCAAGTTCCAAAAGGAACTAGCCTAACAATCTACTCTACTGATGTCCATTAAACGCAGCTACATTTTTTTAATTAGCGTACTTACCAGCCCTTGTAGTTGTAATAGTCGCTGGCGTTGACCTTAGGTGGCGACACAGGCAAGTGGCAGCCGTCCAGCGCGGCTATGCCCTGCGGAAATTCCAGGGCAGCCTGGGACTCGCGGACGTGGTCGGGGAGTTCGGCGGCGGTCATCATCTTGAGTCAGTCGCGCTCCAGCTCGAAAACAACGATGTGGCAGAACTCTTCGTAGTTATCGTTGACCGTTGACCGCCCCAGGCCGAACAAGTGGGCGACGGTCCTCTCTTCCGCGCTGGAACACAGCTTGTAGAGCGCAGCTCCAACTCGTTTTTCGACCGATATGGTGGGGCGCATAGGGGTGACCTGGCGCTCCATGTGGGGCCAACAAACGTCCACGATGTACCGAAAGGTCGCCGGCATCACCCGGAAAGCCTGTTTGAAGTGGCTCTCCGGCAGGTTCGGTAGCGTCTCCTCAAACCATCGTTCACCCCAAAAGTACGCCTGGACGCTCCGCGGCAATGCCATGAACCGGCTACCTGCAGACACCTTATCTGGGTCTGTCAAATGACAGCAAGAAAACGACAGGAAGCGATCTCAAGACTTGCCGCCGAACTCACACCACAAAACTACGAAGACTGGGTTACCCCCAACAGAGGTCCTCCAGAAAGGAAGCTAATCCTCGACGCCCTTCTTGACTTTGTCAAGAAGGCAGGCCTAGCCCAATATATATAACCACTTCCCTTTTTCCCAACATCCCAACCCCTACCCTCTACATCCCCCAAGGATAAGATGACTTTCGTCAAGGTATCCGGTGTCCCCTTTCTGAAATAAACGTATTCTCACTCACTCTCGCTCTGCGGCATGGTCGTTTCTCCTGCTGTTGCTGCAGCGATGAGCAGGCTGTTTGCAAGAAGCCTTTCCTCGAGGAAATCAGCTTCTCGTTGGGCAGATCGAACGTCGGAGCTGATCGACGTCAAAGCCTCCGTGATCGACGACAAAGAACCAGTCAGCGATGCTAAAGCACCTTCATGGAGGGCGCGCAGGCACACCAGGAACTCGACACGAGACGCAGGGTCCATCGTAGCCGGATCAACATCGGGAGGAAGACCCATCGAAGGAACAAACTGGGGCAACTGCGTTGAAGAAACTCAAGCGCGAGCACGACGCCGAACAGAACAGGGCAAAAGCGTAGAGCACGGGAAGGAGCGCGCGCACTGACCAACAGGACCGAGCAAGGGAACCGGGCAACGCCTCCGAGCGAGCGGGCGACGCTCAGGGTTGCCGCTAATTGCGAAAAAACACTGTGCTTGGGCTTAAAGCAGACATTGCTGTAATCACTCGACTGAACTCGTCATTTTCTCTTTTCTAATATTTTGTTTGCTTTAGAAAAACAAACAAAAATTATTTATATCGCGAAAATATATATATATATTTTTTTTTGGCGTGAACGTGGTTTATGTGTTTGAACGAGCTACGGGATTTCAATCGCTGTAAACATCCTCTAAATGACATTTAATTGTGCCGTCTGGCACGGCAGAACGTAAAGGTCATTTGAAAATCCTAAAGGCCTTTGGCGTAAAGGTCCTTTTAGGCGCCCGTCTGGCAGGGGCATTAAAGGGACACTGACACCCCCCTCCCCCATTTTTTTCCTATTTAGAGCGCAGCTTTTAAGTGCCCGTTTCCGGCTTGGGCGGCGTCGCCGTCGGCGTAACCGTGCGTAACCCTCGTAAGCCTCGTGAGGGTCACGAGGGTTACCTTCACGAGGATCACGAGGGTTACCTCCGTAACCCGTAACCTCGTAACTTGAGGATTACGAGGGTTACCCTCACGAGGGTCACGAGGGTTATGAGAGTTACCCTCACGAGGGTCACGAGAGTTACCTTAATGAGGGTCACAAGAATTACCTTCACAAGGGTTACTAGTGTTACCCTCACGAAAGTCACAATGGTTACCCTTGCGAGGGTCACGATGGTTACCCTCACGAGGGTCACGATGGTTACCCTTACGAAGGTTACCCTCACGAGGATCATGAAAGTTACCCCCCGAGGTCACGTGACCCCCTGATGTCACGTGACCTCCTGAAGTCACGTGACCCTCTGAAATCACGTGACCATCCTAAGGTCACGTGACCCCCCTGAGGTCACGTGACCTCAGGGAGTCACCTATCCCTCAGTACCCTTCTATACTAACCCTCAGTACCCTTCCAGCCTGCTCCTCAAGAGCTGCACTCTAATCCGGCGTTACAGGGAGTTGTAAATGGCTTTCATTTTAGAGCGCAACTCTTAGGGGTCTATTTCCGGCTTGAGCGGCGTCGCCGTCGGCGTAACCGCGAGGTCACGTGACCCCCCAGGTCACGTGACCCAACGAGGTAACGTGACAGCCTGAGCTCACGTGACCCCCCGAGATCACGTGACCCCCTGAGGTCACGTGACCCCTTCGAGGTCATGTGACCCCTCTCCCCAAGGTCACGTGAGCCCCTAAGGTCACATGACCCCCTGAGGCCATGTGACCCCCGCTGAGGTCACGTGACCCCCCTGACGTCACACGACCCCCCCACCCCCTGAGGTCCCGTGACCTCAAGGAGTCACCTATCCCTCAATACGCTTCCTCCTTCCTCCTCAAGAGCTGCGCTCTAATCGGCGTTACAGGGAATTGTAAACGACTTTCATTTTTTTTCCATTACCCGTAACTACCATTTTCCTATGCCACGTTTTTTGTCAGGCGTTTCATTATGGTTGTCGGAATACTACCCAATTAATATTTTACTACAGAGTCACGTATTTTTTTAATAAAGCCAAAAAAAGCAACTGGATGCTCGAAAACGAAACTGAAATACCCGCACTGTATGGAAAGTGGAGAGGATGAAATGGGGGGGGGGGGGGGGGGGGTAGCGGAAGTCACGTGGCTACACCCGACCGTGCGGGTTTTTCTTTTTTTTTTTTTTCTCTCTTCACATCGCAGACGAAATTCGCTCCGGGATCCGTTTGCCGTGCGATTCCTTTGCACTTATGTTTGTTCCGCTCGTTGTTCTGTACTTCAAGATGAGTTTTAGTAGTGAGTGCCCGTGGTAGATTCCCGTGATCAGCTCCGAAAAGAATACTTCCAAGATGTTGCGTGAAGAGCTGCCTCACATGTTTTGTATCTGAAAGTGGCATTGTGCGGCAGGGTGCATAAGTTTCCGAAAGATCAACGGGTCGGGATCAATGGCTGGCTGCAATTCCTGTAGAACAGTTACGGGCACCTCGGAAAGCGGACGCTACCCGATTTATATGCTTCTTGCATTTTGCGGCACGTTAATACATTGAGCTGGCAGTATCAACAAGGAAATCCCATGCCATTTAGTTCAGCGACGTATCGTACGAAACAATTATTTTTTTCATTGATAATTGTTAAAAAAGAAATGTAAACATCGCAAAATGCCTGAAAAAAGAAAAAAAAATGGTACACCCACACCAGGAATCGAACCCGTGCCTGCTGCGTGTGAATCCGACGTCTTTCCCCTGAGCTACTGAAATTTTTTAAATTGTTCATGTCCATATTTATATGCACGCAAACAGTATAATACACTATGTACAAGTCATCAATGCAAAAAAAAAAAATGATCACGTAAAATATGCCTTAACATTCTTCGCTCACCGGATGTTTGTAGTAAACATCTTTAGAGAGCAAATATTGCAGCTTAGTACGAATTGTGCAAGATTTTAGCAGAAACTACATCTATCTTTCTCGACCCGGTTCTGTCGTTAAGTCCATGACTACGTATACAACTCTTTGCATTTCCACAAGAAAAGATTTATATGATGTTTGGTGAACGACTGACACTTGCTACAATTCTTTCCATTCATCGTCATCGGAGCGTGCCAACAAGCTCTGACCAACAAATATAGAGATTTTCTTGAAGTTTACACAGGAAGGTTTGGCGATACCCCCCCTTCGTGTCCACTTTCCGTGTTTTCCATAGGCTATATAAGCCAAGTACCACAAGTGTTGCCAGGGCGGTATCTAGACGGTCTCCAAAATGCAGGTAACGAAAGTTACTCTCCTCAACTTCAAAGTCCTTTTTGACTGTTCTTTTGAAAACGTCCCAAACAAAATACAGCATCAACACATAGTACGAATGCATGAGTGAATGATTCAGTGGTGATACACAATCTGCAGTTAGTGCTCCAAAATACATCGAACCCCCGGGATTCGCGCCACTCTTTCACCGGTATCGTTCGGGAGTGAAAGCGGAAAAAGAACGACTTGCACTTTGTTGGTATAGGCATATGTTTCACTCTTTTTAAAACATCTGTAATACAATTTAAAGGAGCATTGAAAGGACTCGAGCGATATTAGCGGCGAGATGTTTTGGTGGCGCCCTCCTATGGTTACCTCTCGTGACGCCATTACCCTGTAAATAACAAGTTTGATGGTGTTTGTAATTAGCATGGTGGAAGCTTGAAATAACTTCGCTTTTAAACCAATACTGCCAACACCGTCAAAATCGAAGTTCTTACATTACTCTTATCTTCGTCGATGAGGAGTCCTTTGCTCACGTCGAAGTCAGCATTCGGCCAATCGTGGAGGGCCGACCACCTCGACGCTTTCGATCGGTCACGTCGCCAATAGTGGATCAGGGAATAGAGAATAAGGTAGACATTTCTGCAGTTTCTTTTTGGAGCACGACTCTAAAGGGGTATTCACACGAGGAAGAAATCCCGAGGATTTCTCCCCGGCACGCGCATGCCACCACGAAAACGTCAGGCTTTGCGATGTGCAAAAGCCTCGCGTTTTCGTCTCGTGATGCGCGCGTGCCGGGGAGAAATCCCCGGGATTTCTCCCTCGTGTGAATACCCCTTAAGAAAGCGCTAGTGAAACGTGCTCCCGAAAATTCAATGGTGTCTGCGACCTCTTTATAAAAGCCACGTAAACGGATTGCGTCATTGGATAAAATTCCAGATACCTGTGCCTGCGTATACTTTGGTAAAAAATAAGCTACTGAAGGAACTCTTTCAAGCGTAATAATAGAGCCGGTACACTGTATGTCGGTAGTTTGCTGTCGTATTCCCTTCGATACATACACTCCTGGCTTGAAGTCGGGCAGCACCACGCATAGGCCACATACGCACCTCGTAAAGAAACCGTACGCGTGCGTATTCAACTCGAAGTACGCAGTTCGTGCGCCGTTTGAGCGA